GCCATCCACACGCAGGTCCCAGCCGAGTCCGTCCGGTTGCCCGAACAGTCCCAGCCGAGTCCCGCGGCTTCCAGCCAAGGCCCGACGTACCCAACCCTTAGAGCCAATCCTTTTCCCGAAGTTACGGATCTATTTTGCCGACTTCCCTTATCTACATTGTTCTATCAACTAGAGGCTGTTCACCTTGGAGACCTGCTGCGGTTATGAGTACGACCAGGCGCAAAAATTATTCATTCCCTTGGATTTTCAAGGACTGTCGAGAACGCACCGGACCCGACAGAGGTGTCGAGCTCTACCCGCCATTGAACCCTAGCTCCGGACAAACCGATTTCAGGGTGGTAGACGGTTAAGGAGAAAAGATAACTCTTCCCGGGGCCCTCGCCAGTGTCTCCAAGTTCATTTACGTTGCCGTTAAAAATCTGCATCCTGGTTCCGGAATCTTAACCGGATTCCCTTTCGATAGGCGGCGTGAACAAGCACGCACTTTGAAACGGAGCTTCCCTATCTCTTAGGATCGACTAACCCATGTCCAACTGCTGTTACCATGGAACCTTTCTCCACTTCAGTCTTCAAGGTTCTCACTTGAATATTTGCTACTACCACCAAGATCTGCACTAGAGGCCGTTTCACCCAGCATCACTGCCTAGGCTTCTTCACTGACCTCCACGCCTGCCTACTCGTCAGCGCGTCACTTAAACGCTGACGGCGAGGTATGGGTAACACGCTTGAGCGCCATCCATTTTCAGGGCTAGTTCATTCGGCAGGTGAGTTGTTACACACTCCTTAGCGGATTCCGACTTCCATGGCCACCGTCCTGCTGTCTAGATGAACTAACACCTTTTGCCTCGATATATTGATGGATATTTTAGCGGTTGTCGGATGGTGTCTTCTTTTGGTACTCCTGCAAGACTGTGCCAAGTTCGCAAGCGGCGGCACACAAATTTGCGATCGCGTCTGACGGTAGTAGCTGTACTCGTCTCCATTGTAGAATATATTTCTAGCCTTGCGGGTGCACCCTGGTATCGTTATTGCGCTCTGGAGTGGACTGAGAGGATGGCGGTATCCATGTGAGGAGCAGGGACGCTGCTGCTCATACTGCTACCCCCTTCCCTCTCATTCCCTCTGGACGCCAGCAGATCCTGAGATGTCCAGAGCGTGAGTAATCACCGGTGAGCCGGGACGGGCTGATGCCCATTGTGAGAATGGAGCAAGGGCCCAGAGCGCTGGGCTCCTGGATACACCCAAATTGCAAGCCTGTCGGATATCCATGGCAAACTGTGAGCCTCTGAGAGTCCGTGCGAGTTTGATCCATTAGAAGCATGCTACGGAAATTCACTTGGATTGATTGGGTGTCCTGAGCTCATCCGAGAAGCAAAACCCAATTTATTGAGCAACAAACACAGGCATAGTCTAATGCATACAGATTATACAGTACATACAGGCAGCTGCATTGAGGAAGCCAGGGGAAATGCAGTGCTCACCTCCAACAGGCAGAACACCATCACTGAGTGACCGCCCTCCCACGAGCGGCCCTGGTAACCTACTAGGCGGCATCACGTACAAATGCAACGCTAGAGCACCAGCCCGCTGATCGTAATTGTGCTTGGGCGTACAGGCCGGCAAGGACTGTGCTGATCGGATGAGCTAGGCGCAGCATCGAGGCCTGAGGTACTGATGCATGAGGAACACCGGGCAGCGAGTCGGGAGTACCTCAGGCGGGGGTGTCTCGGAAGGCATTGCTGTTCGCTTTGTGCTCGCAGTCTGACAGAGCCTGATACCGATGTGAAACGCACATCACGTCAGGCGGGGACAGCGGCGGGACCTGGGCGCATGCAGCAATCAGTGTCCTTTCAGAACGCCAAAGCCGGGGCTGCGCGGCGGAAGGAGGTACAGGAAAGGCGCGAGCCTCGCCAGGATCTGCCGACTTTCGCAGGAAAGGACCCCCTTCGAATCCTAGCCCGTGCGAGGCCCGCGCGGAGACGGGGGATATATGGTACACACTTTGAGCAATGTTTCACCGGGCACACGCAGCAACATGCCTGATTCGTAGTTCAGAAAGCGATATTGTACATACCTACCTCGCGTGCGGGCCGATGGGAATTGCGCGGCGAGTCCGGTACGATTTCTTGCCGTGCATTTGTTAGCGGAGTCCTGTGCGTATTGCGCCGCCGCGCATGGCAGGGTAATCGCAGGGTAATCTGGAGATCTAGCTTAAACAGACGAGATCAGTATCATCAAGGGAGTCGCGCAAGAGCGGAAGCGCGTACGATCACAGTCGGCGTAGCGATGTATGCGTTGCTAGAGCGAGTGGCGGTGAGAAGAGTGTACGAGACGCCGGCGCGAGGTGCGCCCATAACTCGGCTAAACAGACGCCCATCCACCCACCTTCTTCGAACCGCTACGCTAAGGTCGAGCCATGTCGCGTCGCGAGGTGGCGTTTGCTCAGCGGCCAGTCGCTGGTCCGAGACGCACTCTATGACGTACCAGCCCAGCCCGGCTCGCCGATCGTCACTGATGGTCTCTGAGATCTGACCACGGCCCACCACGGCGGCCCGTGGTGCCCCACCGCTCTGCCACAGTAGACCGTCTACACCACTAGCTCGTCTCAAGAATTCACGACGGTACTCTCGCAACCACGCCGATCGACACCGATCTCCGCAAAACTCGGAGTCACCGCGCTTGGCCTCTTGGGGTCGTCCGATCCTCTGGGGAATGTTTTGCACCTTGTTTCCTCCCTCCATCTTGCCAACTCTCGAGGTATGGCCAGCATGAACATGAGTATATGCACTGTCTCACTAGAAGTGCAGAGGACCGATCTCGTCGTTGCAATACGACAACCTCACGCACTCTCTTCACATTCAACTCCGGGTCCCAACCCGACACCGTTCACCCACACTCGACCGCGTCTTCGCCTTTAGAAGAGTCCAAAATGTCACTCGAGGACAAGCTGAACGCCGCGCTCACCTCGCGCGAGAAACGGCTCATCCGGCGCAGACTCTACGACCCCTCCGCGGACGCGCACCTCGTCGACTTCTCCACAAACGACTACCTCTCCCTCTCGCGCTCGCCCGACCTCCGCGCCCGCTTCCTCGCGCGCCTCGCCGCCGCCCCCGACGTCCTCGGATCTGGGGGCTCGCGCCTGCTCGTGAACGGACACGCGCACGCGGCGTTAGAGGCGCGTCTCGCGGGCTTCTTCCGCGCGCCCGCCGCGCTGCTCTTCAACTCCGGGTTCGACGCGAACGCGGGCTTCTTCGCGTGCGTGCCGCAACCGGGGGATGCAGTCGTGTTCGACGAGCACATCCACGCGTCTGTGCACGATGGGGTGCGCGCATCGCGGGTGGCCGCGCGGGTGCCGTTCGCGCACAACTCGATACCCGCGCTGCGGGTGGCGCTCGAGCGGTTACGCCAAGACAGGCCGGCGTTGGTGAGCGGCGGGAGCAGCGTGTTCGTCGCGGTGGAGAC